ATTTCGCTCATGGCGGCCTCCACAGCCATGGCATGTTGGAGCACGATCCTGGTTGCTCGAGCCTTGACGAAAGCTTCCTTTCTTTACACCCGTTGATACATAACCCAACTTGTTTGTTGTTATTGTCGTTCCGACCGGATCCGTTGTCACTTCTACAGATGTCTTGTGTGTAGCTTCCATTGTGTGCGCAACCTTGTAGGCAGCGTCAAACGTCTCCGGGTTTTTCGCAATAATTTCATCGCACATTCCGCGAGATTCCAAGCCAAAGAGTAACTGTTCGATGAGCATACGGTCCAAAAAATCTCCGTATTCGCAATGAGCAGCAGTTTGTCGTAGTCGCAAAGCAAAACTCGCAATACTCTCTTCCGGCTCCTGGCGCAGTTGGCGAAATTTAATGCTTTCAGCATACTTATTTTTCGGCCGGTCGAAGTGTTCCACCAATGTTGTTTTTATCGCAGCGTATGTCAAATCCTCCGGTTGCCTTGGGCTGACGAGAAATTTGAGTGCGTTGTTCAGTTCAATTCCCATATGAACGCGAGCATATGCGGCATGGTCCGCCTCCCGGATTCTGCTGAGGTTGAGCGCCCAGTCGAAACGCTTGAAATAGTCCTCCACTGATGAACCGTCCGATGTCTTGAATTCTCCGATTGCGAAAGCTGCTGGTTTTTAGCCTCCTTCTTGTGCTGCATTGGCACCGCCGGCTGCTGCTGCTGAAACTTCCTGAACTGCTACTTTTAGCGCATTGGTGAAAACAGTAGTAAGGCTCTGTAGCACCTCCGCTGGAATGGACATTTTATCCAACTTCTGACACCACTTTCAAATATTGAATAATGGTAATGCTAACGTTTATTACTGATTAGGAAAATTACGTTTATTCGATAAAAGCACATGTTTTAAACTGAAGGGTAAAGAGAGGTACATATGTCAAAAACACTCAGTGCTGCCAGTCTGTTCAGGTGCGGAAGCCAGTGTGTACAGAAACGTTGATTTGTGTATGAAAACATAACATGTATCATTTGTGAAAACTGACATTTATGCTTTTGAAGTTTCACGCTAAGGCATCCTTAGAGTATCGCCTTCACGCTGTTTCCAAGACTTTGCGAAAATTATGAAAAATTTAAGGTAGTTTCATTAAGTTAGGAAAAAATGTGGGAACCTTCAAGAAGTTCTGATAATTTCATCGACATTGAAATGTAAATTAAAGCTAATTCTGGAAACTTCAGGGTAGTTTCAAGAACTTAAAGAAAATCCAGAACTACTGGAAGTTTTAAGAACATTTGAGTGAGTAACGGTAGCTTCAGAGCAGTTGCAAACATTGTAGTTACATTTCTAAAAAATCAGTGAGTGTAGATCAAAGAGTTTCAGGGCAGTAACATTAACGTCAGGAACATAACAGGAACTGTACCGAAGTTGCCAAAACTTTAGTGGAGTTTAAAAATGGTATGGGGCATTACGTAACTTTGAGCTTTTCTGAGAACTCAGAGCAGTTATAAAATTATCAGAAAAATTGAGGGAATTTCAGGTTAGTTCCGAGAACTTCTGGTAGATTTCGAAAACTTTGTGCAGTTCCGTTGATCAAAGAAAAAAATCAAGAACCTTGGTGGAGTTCCATGCAGGAACGTCTGAAACTAGCGTGCTCATAAAAATCAGTTACTGAAAACTGTTAACATCATTTTGATGACCATTTTTGCTAGCAGCTTGCTCATCAGCGTTAGTGAACCACACACTAAGATTTTGTTTTCGTGTTCGGTACATTTTACCGAAATCAGAGCAGCTGAACGTTCGGTAAAACTTTGAATTTCATTTTACAGGCTATTGAACTTGAAAATAATTTCAAAACATGTTCAACCTTGTTTTAATGATCAAATCTTGTCATTTTAGTTTCAAAGTAGCTGTAAAGCAATTGAATTGAATTGCATAAATTTTACCGAATAGTTCAGCTGTTCAGATTTCGGTAAAATTGCCGAAGTCGGCGATAATTTTTAAGTGTGCAACACTAATGTAAACCGGCCATAAGTGCGGGCTTTTTCTGTCAGCTGAAAGCGTACGAGGCGTTGTTCCATTTTGGTCAACTATTGAGTCCGCAGCAGAGTTGGATGGCTTTTCACTGAGATAGTCCTACCAGCTACGTTTCTGCTTGTATGGTGCGTGATTTAGTTTTACGAGCCTTTTCCGAGGTTGCTATCGCAGATGTTGAACGGAAGGTTGGGAATTTGTTGAACGATAAGCTTTCCATAGCGCCTGACTCGAGGGGTTGTTGGAGGCATTGTTCTAGCCTGATCCGGCAAAGCATCGTCATCAACATCAGTATGGCAACGATTACAAAATTTGGTTTAACGTGACGCATACCTGGCTTGAAATGAAAAAGAATCGAAAAGCAAATTTAAGCAAATCCAACACTGCCATTTAATTACAATTAAACAATTCCTTCTGCCACTGTCACTCTCGTAATTGTTTCACATCGCTGCAATCCTTGAACGAATCTTGTGCACACATTTCCCAAACATTCTGTACCGTAGGTAGGTACCAACCAGCAGTCAGTGTCGGAAAAATAAGTTTTCCCTTCAGTTATCCTCCCTCTATCTCTAGTTGAACCCCTACCGAGACCCATCCACAACTTCACATCCTCGTAGGTATCTGACGCCTTCGCAGTGCACACCGACGACGACGAACGCAGATCCTCACTCTCTCATGATTTATTCAGTCACACATTTCCATCCTGCACATGTGAACGAACACTTATAAAACTTTCACTAATTACTCATGTGCAAAACTTTTCCTCGCTAATCCTTTCTGCCTTTGACGAGAGCCCTTTATACCCCAGATCCAGGAAGGCGGCACCAGCAGAGGCAGAACGGAGGCAGCTAAAAGGATAAATTTTATTATTACTCTGCTCGGTTGGTTCTGATGTTCTGGATGGGATCAAACCGAGGATGAACATTTTGTTTTCGGTAGCATTTTTGCATGCAAGGAGGTGAATCAAAACGAGGAGCAACTTTTATCTGTCCCCCACACAGGTTCTTCATCTGCTCGCTAGCTGTGTGACATGTGTTTGCTTCGAATTTGCATTTCTAATTGGGATCATCAGTTTGATTTTCGCAACTTCACCATTCCACAGCTTGAGGCACAAAAGGAGCGCTGGCTAGCTGTTTCGGACGATGAAGATGATTCTGATGATGATGATGGCGATGGACGGATATTATGCAGCAGGACAGTTTTGCCCTCGGACTTGTATCCAGATGATTTAATTGAAGCAATCAGTGAAAGGGGTTGTTAGTTCAGGTCAGTTGAAAGTTTATGGAACTTTGCTCGGAGCAATTCGATGCTTTTTTCACGAAAATTGATGACGCTTAGTTTGGGTAGATGAATTAAAGTTTAAAATAGAGAACATAACTTAACTTGCTTGCAATCATTGCTAAAACATCTTGAAGCATTACAAAAATATGCACATTGTCAAACTGGATGAATTGGCACAGGTGCTATTTACCCCCTGGAGATCTTATAGCACCCTGAGAATAAGCCTGAATTTTAATTTACTGATTTAAGTACAGATATATATGTGATGATGATAATGTCTTCAGTATCGAAACATTTAGGCAACCCAAGTAGAAGATAATATCAAACCAATAGCAAGTTTTATTATTAAAAAAAATAATATCAAAACATCTCAATTCGATATTGGTTTGATCGAAATAAAAGTTAAAATATCAAAAATAATAACTGAAAAGCAATGGGACTAAAGATTGTACTCGAAAAAATTGAGACACATTGGTTAGTGTGTACCTTTTTAGCGTGTAGGTAAAAATTTGTGAAATTTTTACTGAGACTAGCTAAGAGTGTAATATTCACTCTGGCAGAATTTCATCACAATTTGCCAAGTGGTTATCGAGCTGGCATCCGAGCAAGAGCAGATCCACCAAAAATTGTGTGCGCCGTCGTGTGAAATCCGACTGCGCCCCAAGTTTAATCGGAAAACACCTGGGAATCCATCATCCGATGATTTTCTGGGTGGTGAAGTAGTTCAAGGAGACCTAGACAACCCAGCAATGGACAGGCTGTGGCAGAAAACCGAAGACAGCTGACCCGGTGAAGGCCAGGAAGGTGTTGAGTCTGTTTAAGCGTCGGCCGAATTTTTCGATCCGCGATCTGGTTTATCCAAAAAACGATGAAACGTTCCGGCATCCACGTCTACAAGGTTCGGGAGGCACCTATCCGGAATAACAAACAAAATACGGTGGCCATTATTAGTGGTGTAAAAGGCAAGGTGCGAGAATTTGGAGCGGAGATCCAATAACGCAAAGAAGTAGAAACCTAGCCATAAGGTTGTAGTTTATTCCCTGAAAGCTTGATGAAAATCCGACATAAATGGATTTTCCGTTTGACCGAATGGGCCGTTTGGCCGAACGCCGTTTGGCCGAATGCCGTTTGGCCGAATACTTGAAAAGAGATTTCCAATTTTTGAACACTACTTGAACCTAAATGGCATCTCTGTGGATTTTTGTTTTACTTTCCACAGTTGTAGTTTTTTTTTGAACATTATAAATATAGGATTTTTGGTTAAATTGCAAATTGTATCAAACTGAAATTTTATACTGTCGCTGAAATAATTATTCCTATAAAGAATATCTTTAAGTTATGCAATTATAATTTTTTTAGCCACCCTTTTTAACATGAGCAGTTATTTGGGAATTTGATGACCTTATTATTTTTTGTACAGAAAACGTAGCTTGTCATAAAATTAAGACGAATCAGTAATAGGAGATTTTCCCTTCTTTCAAACATGAGCAGGTTTCCGAAAGTTTGTTTTTCGGCATTCGGCCAAACAGCATTCGGAAAAAAGGCATTCGGTCAAACAGCATTCGGAAAAAAGACATTCGGCCAAATTACCCAGAACCAAATTTTTGTGTGTACCTTTTTTTTTCGAGTACAGCCTTTATAACTGAATATTAGCAAAATAAGTTGTTGTAATATCAAACCACAACTAGTTACTAGTTGCGAAGATGCTATCGTATCCGAGATACGTGAAGGGACGTCAAAATGCGAAAAATCAATACAGAATTCTGTTAATACACAACAACAACAACGACAACGACAACGACAACGACAACGACAACGACAACGACAACGACAACGACAACGACAACAACAACGACAACGACAACGACAAAGATGTATTCTGGATCTACCTCTCGCATTTACATCCGTCCGTTTCCAAGCTCGTAAAGGAAGCTTTGGATTGCAAAGATGCTGTGAAAGTAGTTCCATTTGTGAAAAATGGCGCAGACCTAAACTCATTCAACTACATTTCATTCAAAGATGGTATCAATCAGGGTTGCTTCCACTCACTTGCTATACAACAATGGTTTTCTAAATTATGAGATCATCAGATGATATAATGATATGTTTTACTTGTAAGTAACAAGAAAAGAGTGTAAAGGATGAGTTTGACTCATAAAACCTGTCAATTTCGCTTTCAGAACGTCACAATCGGCGATCTAATGATTCGCGAGCGTTCACTCTGAGTGAGCGCTCACGAATCGTTAAATCGCTGATTGTGACGCACTGAAAGCAATTTTGACAGGTGTAATGTGTCAAACACATACGTCATGACCTCTTCTTGTAACTTACAAGTACTAATTATCATTATCACATCTAATGTGTTCATAATTCGGAAACACAATTTTTTATAGCAAGTGAGTGGAAGTAACCCTGGTATCAATGTTGAACATCGGGAAGCCGCCCTTAATCCTGACTCGTGGCCGGAAGAAATCCTGTTCAGGGAGTTCGTAGACAATCGTGCAAAAAACGTGCAGGCGCCCGCATCTCCAGAATCATCGGATCACAGATACTCCTTAAGATCACCTATCGCTGTTTCCTCGCTTCCGGGACGCATCGTAGAAGGTAATATGGAAGACCCTGATTCGTCCACCACAGCCTTTACCGACAGTCACCGACACCACAGTCGCTTGTTCCAGCCATCGGAGTCATCCCGGCCCTGTGTGTGGAATTGTGAAAGGGGTCTTCCAGACTTCAATAATAGGCAAGTACTCGCAAAATTCACTCAGCCACGTCTCTCCTGATAATATTTCCCTTACCAGTGCTTCTACGCCAGCCAATGTGGTCGCTCTGGCTGCACCTGAACGCATTTCATAAACTATCACGCTGGTTCCTATGCCACTGAACTCTGCCGCGCCGGTTCGTGTTGTATGTAGTTGCAGTCATCCTGATCTAGCAGTCGACAGTGAATCGCACGTTAGAAAGCAACGCGGAAGCCTCTAATACACCTAGCACAGTCGAGCCGTTTCCTCATCAATGCAGTCTAAGTCACCCTGGCCCTGTGTCTGAAGTGCGAGAAGAGGTCTTCCAGCTTGCTCATCAAGGCAAGTATTAATGTAATAATGTGTGTTCCCAGCCAGAAGATGTTTCGCCCCACTGTTGGACTATTTGTTCTGCCACTGCGCACTTTACCTGTCACATTGAACTTCATTCTGAACACGCTGAGGATGCTTCAAACACTGGATTCCCGGGACGCGTTGTGGAAAGCACTTTTGAAGCCCTCGATCTCTCCGACACGGTCCTGCATACCGCTACCTGCGCTCTTCACAGTCGTCCCAGACCCGTTGTTGGATGTAGAGAGAGGGTTGGATTGCCTCTTCCTGATGTCTGTTCGAATTCCAGTGGTATTGTTCTTGGAGAAGACGCCCAAAGTTTTGCCATCCTTGGATCCCTTGATCGCCTTCAGCAGCTTTTCAAAATTGGCCTTCTCTATGTCGTTCTTATCCCGAAACACGGACGAAATGCCCTCCTCACCGTCCCTCTCGATCTGCTTCAAGAAGTCGATCTTCTTCTTGCTGGTCAGGAAAAAGATGGACTTTTCGCACAGCACCGTAATCGTATCGGTCAGATCGTATCCCAGCAGCGAGATGGATTTGTTGTAGATGGTTTCCTCGTCTTCGTCGAGAAAGGAAAAAATAACGTAGCGTGTACGTGCTCTGTCGGAGGATTCTTTTTCCCCTCGCGCTCCCACCCGCCGCGAGTGTTAGTTTTTTCGGTGTGATCAAAGACTCCCGAATTCCAACAGTACCTCCCCTCTGGAGTGCACTACCACCCCCTTAAAATAAGACAATTCAGTAGTGCGCAAATTTAATCGATTAGTGTTACCCCTTTACTTCGGGGCTTGGTAAAAACAGAACACTTGAGTCGTGCTTTTTGTGTAGTGTTGTGAACGCCGCCGTTTTTGTCGTTGGCGGTGGTTTCCTGACAAGGCAACATAAACGAATCTCTGGTGAGTCCGAACTGAGCGTTTCTTTTCAGGGAGCTGGGCTGGGGTCGTCGTAATGGCGGCGAACCCGGGTTTTGCTCCGCCGGGAGGAGGCGGTCTGGACCCTGGAGGATACGAGCATGATCAAAATGCATCAACTTTGCCGTATTTTATGGACCCCGAAGGGAACCATGGGGAAGTGCGCATCTTGCGTTTGCAAGGCGTGATGCAAGAAGACAACACCCGTCGTAGCCTTCCAAGCCACCCGGTTATGATCCGAAAATCGGTTCAAAAGCACTTGAATGCGAAGATATAGGGAGGTTTTCCGGAAGCCCGTGGAGCTACCTACGCGCTTAAGGTGCGGAGTGGCGAGCATTACAAGAAACTGCAGCAACTCAAAATACTACTGGACGGTTCAGCCGTTGAAGTGATTCCGCACCCTTCGTTGAACTCCACGAGGTTCGTGGTCAGCTGTCAAGATGCCATCAAAGAGACAGAACAAGACCTTGTTGCTGACCTCAGCGATCAAGTCGTAAAAGAAGTGCGACGTATCACACGACGGCACGGATCAGGTCGGGTCAACACGGCGACCCTCATCGTGACCTGTCACGGCACGTGTGCACCTGAATACAAAGACATAGGGTACACGCGGTGTCGAACTCGTCCGTACTATCCGTCGCCCATGCAGTGCTTCAACTGCTGGGCGTTCGGCCATACCAAGCTCCGGTGTAGAGTTGCAAAAGCAATTTGTGGGAATTGCTCGGGTGATCATCCGATCGCCAATGACCGTCCCTGTCCTCAGAAACCTTTCTGCAGTAGCTGCAAAGCAGACAACCACGGACTGTCTAATCGCTCCTGCCCGAGTTATAAACGGGAGAATGAAATTCAACGCATCAAGGTGGACAGAGGTCTTTGGTATCCAGACGCAAGGAAAATGTACGAACAACGCAATGGAGGCAACTCCTTTGCCAATGTCACAAACGCAAGCACGCAAAACGCCCTCCTCGAAATGAATCGAAAAATCGATGAGTTGGCGAACACGGTCAAAGAAAAGGACACTATTATCGCCCAGCTGCAAGCCGCACTCCAGTTGAATGGTTCTGGAAACACTGCCGCTGCCGCCGCAGTTAGCGCTGCCTCAGTCAATCCGTCTTTGAACGCGATTGAGGCGATGATGAAGAGACAAGCCAAACGTTTCGAGTCCATGGTCCAGACCATAATGACCGTCATGATACAGACGCAACAGAAAGTACAGCAGCTGGAATCTACCATACAGACCCCACAAGGACCGTCCTCGAGCCGACCGTCGTCCTACCTTCAGCCCCGTCATTACCTTCGCGGACCACCCCGGAGAAAGTTCAGCCCGTGTCGCAGAAAGCTCCCGAGAGAGCAGACAATTCCATCACCGTCTTAAGTGATGGCTCGATCTCGTCGGGATCCAGCAGCGATGCCACCATCACGCCAGAAAACAGCCCAAACCTAAAAACCATCCGCAAGCAAGATACCCCCATGCCATCGACTCCCGCTACATCCATTGAACAGCCCTCAACACCGCAATCATCGAAGCGACCCATCAGCCAGCTAGACCCTCCTGGTCACCCCCCTCGCATAGCCCAAGCTCCCAAAATCCAAAGATCGACTCTCGCCCGTACCTCGCCAGTCTCTCCGGAAAAAGCCACGCAAATGAAAGAAAAGTGGAAGTAGTACGTTATACGCTGACTACTTTCAACGGCACCTCGACCCTCGCTATTCACCTTGACAACTCTAATGGTCACCTCAACACCTCCATCAACTGCCAGCCACCGTCAACCGTGTCTGTTTTTGGCCTTGGGTAGCCGGGGCACCGTTGAACCGGAAGCTATACCCCAACCGGAATCTTCGGACACCCCTCGGCGCCCGAGCCAACCAGTCGAACTAACGAGTGCTTCGGGCACGCAGGGCACCGGCAGTGCGGACGTCATAACCCCACCGGAACTGCCGGATCACCTCTGCGGCCCGCGGACGAAGAAACCAAAGAAGTGCCCAGCGATAGCCCCCGGTAGTTGGGGCCCCGTCGGTGCGGACGCCATTTCCACACCGGAACTGACGATAACCCCCCTTCGCCGGGGGATGTCTGGAAGAGGGACGCACAAGGGCGGAAACGCTCATCCCCCTATAGACGACGAGGGAGTCAAGTCTGCTTCAAGTATCGGGACGGACAAGGGCTCATCGACCCATTCCCCGAAGGACTTCGAGGGACTCGAACACGCTGCTATAACAACGACCGAAGCTGCCAAACCCAGTACGACATCATGTAATACCTCTTCTCTCTCTGTTGGGTCATCCCTGCCCTAGGTGGGTGGAACTTCTACACCTGCCCTTGGTGGGGCTCTGTCTCATTCAGCATACAACATCAATCTGTCAGCTGGCTCCGACTATCACGATGGATCGGACACTTACGATATAGATCTACCCGTCGACCAGAGTGGCAGTCACCGTCGCGATGACACTAGCTCCACAATCACAGCGCGCTCGTACCCCACTCCTACCTTGCCTAAGCCAGTAAACTTTATCCTGCAGTGGAACATTAACGGGTTCCTGAACCACATTGGTGATCTAGAGCTCCTTTGCCACGACGATCCCCCCTGGGTTATTGCACTCCAGGAAACTAACAAAGCGACAACAGACCAAATGAACCGCTCTCTAGGCGGTAAGTATACTTTTTTTTTTTTTTTTCCTTTATTAACGAGACTTTCAGCCTTAGGCTGGTTCATCTCTACTGGTAAGTATACGTGGACAGCAAAACGGAGAAACAACTTCCGGCACTCCGTGGCCATCGGGGTTTTGAAGACGATACCTTTCCAGGTTGTCGATATGGACTCCAAGCTTCCCATACTTGGTGTCCAGCTGGCGGCACCGGCAAACATCTCCGTCGCATGTGCATACCTGCCATGCGGATGGCTGCCAAACCTGCACGATCAACTCAGCGAAGCCATAGCTAAACTACCGGAACCGCGCATCCTGGTTGGGGATCTGAACGGGCACTACCCAAGCTGGGGCTGCCCCCGCTCCGACCCTCGAGGTGTTAGCCTAGTCGATATTTTCGAGAAGGAAGACATGGTGATCCTGAATGATGGTATGCCCACGTACTTTAACGGGCGGCATACTTCTGCCTTCGACGTCTCTGCTGTCAGCTGCTGCTTTACCGGAAAAACTCAGTGGAGCGCGAACACGGATCTCTATGGTAGTAACCACTACCCCATCAAAGTTCATCTTTCGACCGCCATCTTCCCGATGACAACACGGAGGCCCCGATGGCGCTATGA